AAATACTTATTCAATGTAAAATATGCCAGCAATTGGGCCATACTTAAGCAAATTGTCATTTAGCCCCACGTTGTATCCGTTGTTTACAAGAACATCTCTAGACAAATTGTTCTCTCCCTAAAACTATTCCTCAATGCATTAATTGCAATTATTAATCATATTGTGAATTATAAAGGTTTCAACACTTATAACGACGTCTTTCTAATAAACAGCGTTCTTTCAAGACTCCAATTAATTCCACTTCAAACATTGGCATTAACACTCTTAATTTAAATGCTCAAAGTTTCTCTTCATTCCCGACATTCCAGACATTATTATATAAATAATCCACTTTGCAATCTTTCAATCACTTATCCCGGATACATATTCAATATACACCAAATAATAGATATTTTGTTTGGGAAAGTTACTAATAATAATTATGAATTCCCCCAAAATTTAAACATTATTTTCAGAAATTAATGATGAAATAAAAATATATACTAAGACATTAAGTCTTTCTTACCAAAATCAACTATCTTTCATGAGTCATACGTTTCAGGTCAACAACCATTAACTTAATCAAATCAAAACATAACTTCCGAAGATTTTGGCAACAGACACGAAGACCTGATATCAAACGTCAAATAAATAAATTATCACGAACATTTTTATCGCATATAGATAAATATGAATTAGACAAGTATCAAAATTGCATAGAACAAATTCATCCAAACAGAAGAGCTATATGGACTATTATAAAAAATCTAACTATCCTTTTTTGCTATTCAACCTTTTAAATTTGGCTCACACTATGCACATTCCGACTCTGATAAATCTAATCTAATCGGTGATCAATTAGAAGACATACTTATTAATAACCAATAATTAACTAAGATTTTAATGATAATATCGAAAGGCATTTATTCTCACCTACATTTTTAAATTCCTTCAAAAATTGAATTGATGTCCCCCAAGATAACAAAGAATCGAAAATTTCATGAAGCCCTAGATATGATATTTCCAATAAAATGATGATTAAAGAATGGAATCTATTTTAGCAAAATTATCTAAAATCTTTAATTTCATGCCCCGAATTTCATATTTCCTTAAAGCATGGAAATTAGCGTATATACTTCCCATTTGCAAACCTGGATAAGACCCTCACTCTCTTATCGTCCAATTAACTTATTATCTTAACTATGTGTTCACTTCTTGATATTGAAATGATTAAATGAGTATATTTTCTCAATTCAAGTTCTTCCTCGTAATCAATTTGGCAACTTTTTCTTAACATTAATACTCTGAACAAGAAATGATATAGAAGTCAAAAACACGTATTTTTTAACATTTTCTTAATTTCTCTGTATCTTAATAGTAGAATGGAAATATGTCTTTATGAATAACATATAAGAGTTAAATTTTCTTCTACATGCAAATTTTCTTAAAGAAATTAGAGCCGTTAGTGAGAAAAATCGCATGAACCTTTCTGAAGATGAGAAATTTTGATCTCATTCTCAAGCAAAATTTAAGTTTTTGAGAAACTGCCTCAGAGTAATTTTAAAGCACTTGCACTTACAAATATAATAATGTATTAAATGCTTGTAATGTAAATATTAATTACATTTGTGTAATTTTTGGAAAATCAAAAGGTTGTAATGTTATTCAGAGCATATAGCACTATCCGTAAGAGTTTAAAGAAAAACGGTTTTTTGAAAAAAAAGTGTTTTTAAAATTGCTTTTATATCACTCAAAATTACCTTATGGAAAAGCTAATATTTTCAAACAGCATATATGATATTAATTAAAGAACTAATTGTGGAGAACAAATTTCATTTGACTAGAAGAAATTTAAAGAAACAATTTGGAGCTGTTTTTGTTTGATTAGTGAATCCAGGCGCGACAAGGGATAAGTTCATTAGTCCCATTAGTGTTGTGAATGTTTTTATTGCTGGGGTGGCGGTGATCTTCAGTGGATGGCGAAATTTGGGGCCGACCTACCCTCGGCTTGCGGGGGTTTTCCCCATTAAGATACTATATCCCACCAGCAGGACCGCTGCAGCTCAGTCAAGCTGTATGCTTCTGACTGGTCTCCTTAGTGAAATGCATATAAGTGTAAGAGTGTAAATGTTAGGGGTGAGGTTAGGACAAGGAAGATCACGCACTCTCTCGCCTGGGGTAGATCGGAGCAACCACGGGAAACTACCGATCAGAGCAGCTAGCAGCTGGAATTCTCTTCCAGACAACTCCTCAATTCGACCTAGTTATGTTTGTAGTGTCAAAAATCCTGTCACTGGCGGAACTCGAACCTAGTACCAAGTCAAAGGCACTGCATTGACATCAATTGATGCACTTAAGCAGGTGTTATTATTGAGAAAAGTTTGAAAATGTCGCATGGACTTCATGTGAAGTACCTCACAAAATCCGAAGAATTCATTTCAAGTTGGGCCAGGTCGATCGGGAAATATTCATTTTGGAAAAAATTCTACAAATAGTTTACATAAAGCACTAGCTTATAGACGGACGGGCAGGCGCACAGACGGTCATAGAGGGACATACACCCTTCATAAACGTATATGGGAAAGTAAAACGGCGAAAAATATGTTTTGTGGGTCTTTGTTCCCTGCCAGAAAAACTAGTTTTTTGATAACGAAAAAGTGGATCATTCTTGTTCCTAAACATGCATGCGTCCCGATGAAGCGCAGTTTTGACCATACACTAGACATTAACACGCTTTGCTATATATGCATGAGAGACAAAGAAACAAACAACATGCCCAAGGCGGGACTCGAACCCGCGACCCTTCAAGCCGAAGTCGGCATACGCTCTAGCCACCTCAGCCACCCAGATCGGCTCTATTTTTTATTAAAATTCATAAATCATATTCTGTAATAGACAACACTTTAATTATAATTTATATATGTTGTTATTTTGTAGCTCTAAAGATGACTGCAAGGCGATTGAAAAGCTTTATGGAAAAATAAGCATAGCAAAACAACGCTTCATTTCTACAATGATGCCAAAGTAAACACCACACCAATTCCTACCATCACACAATGTTATTTTCAACAGTATAGTGCTTGTAATGTTTCAAGTACTGTATTATATTACGTAACATTTAGAGATAATGCAAGAATGTACGTGATGTATAGCACTACTAGTTTTTCTGCAACTGTTCGATAAGAATTTTATGAAACTGCAGTTACAATGAAGAGTGAATATTTTTGCGGACCGAGTGAAGAGGCGGCCTGTCTCCTCTCGGCCACACATTTATTTAACTTCAAATTGAGTAAAAACACGACATGTACAGGGGAATAGTACAATCTGCGTTCATTTTCTTAAGCTCTGTTATCTCTCTTTAATTGCTGTATTCATGGTTGAATTGTGAGTAAAGGTGTTTTAACTTAGACAATATACTGTATAATATATCTTGAGGAGACTTGCTTTATTTTCGTTTTGAAGTTGAAAACTCGCAACATGACATCATCCTGAAATTTATTAGAATGTCTTGAGAAATTTTGTTACAAATAAGAGGGTAGAGGAGTCATGGCAACTATTTTGTTCTACAACAAATGTTATCGATGCGCACAATTTCATTTGTGGCGCGAAAGGAATGCTGCAATGGGGTGCGTTCACATGAACAGATTGCTCTGTGTCTCTATTAGCGTGAAATTAGTCGCCCGGCTGCCGCCGTGCGAGATGAATGGAACCTGTTTCCATCAACGCTCTTTCTCCGAGGCCGCCGTTCTCCTTAGGGGAACTGCCCGAGAATGTCACAGCGAGGAAGGTCTTGGGAATAATGCCCTTGCAACCGGACAGTGGCGAGATATGCAAGACGGTTTCTGCGAGAACGCTTAGAAACTAGTGATCAGCAACGCACGGGACAACCTGAGAGATGACCGATGCGGAACGTGCGGTAATCAAACTGTCTCCTAATCGGACCTTTAGAACACCACGAAAGGCATTGCTACGTCGAAACCAACAGTCCAACTGGGTGCCACTCGGGTTGCTACTCTCGAGGAGCACGGAGCCTCGAGGTACTGCTTGATTTCACATGTCTTTGGCACAGTCTGAAATTAATGAAGGCTCGCAAATGCAAACAAACAGTAAAACTTCTAACAAATGTATTAAGAGAACGAAAATTTACAGTTGAACTGAATGAGAGAGTAAGCAAATTCTACAGTGAGTGGCATTTAATCACCAACCCAAAAAACTGTAACTACAGTGATGCACTTACACAACAGGAAAGGAAACAGAACTAAATCTAAATGGGATGCAATTAGACCCGAGAGAACTCGTAAATACCTGGGAATAAAACTGGATAGTACATTAACATACGGGTTCCACTTGGGAGATGGAGCTCAGAAAATGAAAACAAGAAATAATATAATAGGAAAGCTTGCAGAATCTAGTAACTGAGGGTGCTCAGCTGGGACACTACGCCCTTCAGCGTTGGCGCTTGTATACAGATGTCCGGGAGGAAACGCCCAAAATCCGAAAATAAGCTCTTAAGACAGTTATAAACACTTTAGAAACTTGTAAATTATTCATTATTTACTAAAGAAATGAATTGATTTGTTTAAAAAAAAAAAATAACACAGAAATATACTTGTGGTGCTACAGAATGGCACAGACTTTCCCGTTTTAGTTCTCTGTTATGAGTGGGAATTTGAACAGGTAATTATGGGAGGGAAATATGAAAATACAAACCGAGTGAAGTTAATATCTAGTAAATTAGTAAATAAGTAACTATGAAATAATATTATTTGGTAAAAACTTAAATCATGTACGTACCACCGGCGTTTGTGGGTTCTAATGATCTAAATTAAACAACAAGCGACAAAAAGCTCTGAGGCCAAAGCCTCTCGAGCTTTTCGTCGCCGCTCTATCGTTAGAACGCTTAGAGCGCCCTTGGTGCATAAATAATAACTGTTGTGACGAAAACCTATAATACTACAACTGGAACGAGCCAACAACTGAAACAATGGGCCAAGGAACCACAGAAAGAAAAACATGACAACTTATTAGATGTAATAATTATATTAAAATACTTTATTATTTAAATACAAAAAGTGCGCGCTATTCTACAGACACGCGGGGTAGTATTCACAGGGGGAGGGTGTGTTGGGGCCGCCGAGTCGGCGAGACGCTCAGAGGCGGATGCCTGGGTTGCGGGAGCGAACGAAGTTGAGCAGCTCGTCGCTGTCCTCGCACACGAAGGGCTTCAGGTGGTGGCAGGCCACGTCGTGCCACTTGATGCCGTCGTTGTAGAAGTTGTTCAGGATGGACAGGCAGGACTCGTCGTTGCCCTGTGGACAACGGGCACAAAAGCGTAAAATAACTGCACCGCCCACATTAGCTCACACATCATTTTTTCATTTTACGCAGTGACGCGCACAGGATTTCTGAATAGTGTCCAATCAATTAGATGTTTTCTGTTTCAGAATTTTCTACGTAAGCTTAGTATAAAATATATTTTTAATTGTTGACTTTTAATTGATGATTATACTGCAAGCAAATAATATATTGAATAAGTTTCGTTAGAAGAGAAAATTGATAAAAGCTATATTTTCTAATATGTATCATTGGTTTGAAAGTGGGGGGGAGGGGCTGGAGCCCCATGAGCCCCTTCCCGTCCGCGCAACTGGTTTTACGTCACTTCATTTGGTTAAAATAATGCAACAGTGCTTCAAGACTGTGAGTATAAAACTTCACGAAATCACGAAAAATGATGAGAATATACAGTGAATGAAGCTGTTAATAGCACGTAAAGTGCTACGAGAAGACTTCGGAAATGTTGGCTTGAAAATTGTCTCCGTTCTTGACCTAGACTTAAGTACCATCAAACTATTTAGAGCAAGAGGTCATGAGAAATTAACTTTCATAATTTATATGTATTTGTTGAACGATTGTTCGTCAAGGAAGTTATTATTGTAATGTGGTACTCGGTACACTTCCATTGAAAGGTGCACTGTTGGTGAACTTTCAGGGACATACTTTTAGCATATTTTCATTACTATTCTGTTCAATATATATGAATCTCAGAGGTAAATTATTTCAAGCACTTTGGAAAAAAGAATCTTTGTGCAAAAACTACATATAAAGGAAAGTCAAAATATGATTTTTAATATCTATAAGATTAAGTGTTCACATTCTCCTTCGAATTCAGCTGCAGCATTTTATAAATTCTATGAAAAACGATTGAGCGTGGTTTTCTTTACATTGTTATTTATCGCCTAACGTACTAATATTTTTTAAATAATACATTATTGAGTAATTTCATATTCTTAAGAAATACATTACAATTGCACTTTCTACTGTATATTGGGCTATTTTCTCTCTTTTCTTTTTCAGTTTATTCCGCGCTTGGAAAACAAGTGTGGGGGCAAACGAGGCAACTTAGAGCGTACAAGCGGAAGAGAAAGTGTACGGACGCGATCGAAAATTAACTTATTATTCTTCCTCCATCTCCCCGACAGTTCTGGTTTCCCCTGTTACAATACGCAATAAGGTGCGAAGCCGTCTCGGCCGCGGAAGTGCTCGCTGCTCGACTCGTGAGCGCTGAGGAAGGGACACAAACCGCGCGCGGCGCGCAGGTCAGCGGTTGATTGGCGCGTTGCGCAACGTCTGACGCGCGGCGTTCTCCAATCGTTACGGATTTCTCTTCACCCCGGCGGAGACTTCCTTGCCCCGGGCCTGAAGCGAATCGCCAACGGACGGCGGCAGATCGCGCGATTTTGTGAGGGCTGGAACTCAACTACGGTGAAACCTCTTTACGCCGACCACGTAATTCATACCGTAAAATTGATCTTTTGGAGGGGTGGCCTTCTTAAAGGGAACATCTTTAAACGCACCTTAAACTACACTGCTGCTGCGCCTTCTGCTACACGCATCGTACCACTACTCTAGCTTCAAAAGAAAGCTTTTGTGAATTGCATCATTAAATTTCTTTTATCCACTGTATTCATTCATTAATAGGATTACAAAAAAGAATAGTAAAGTGTATTTTAATAATTGTCCTTCAGGTAATGTGTTATGGACATAAGCTGGTCTCCTTATTATAGTAATCCGGGGGAATTATTTTTCTTCTGTGAATTATCTTTCAACTTTATAAAGCGTTAGTTTCTCTACATTCTTCTACTGGAAAATCTCCCTTCGAGGGTACTTCTCCGGCATTTGCTTGTATTGACCAGACAAACCACGAAGAACTACCATCTGAGCAGCTGACCGCTATCAGCTTTCCAAGCTAGCACCGTAGTCAAATTAAGCGCCACTCACATCGCCGGGACAAGTCCCTCCATTTTGCCCAGAATATCGGTCCACTGTTACGACAAAGCCAAGTGCCAAAGTCCCCCAGCCGTCTCTTTACTGTCTCCACCTGGAAGCTGTCGATGTGTATGTCGCCGAAACCTAGGCAATCGGGGTTCATGCTCCCCTTGAACCTAACGTGGGTTTGAGATGCGCTGGGTCAGATGCACAGAGGAAGCCGCCTCCACGCACGCGGGAGGGGGAGGGGGAGGAGGGGGGCGTGGTCGCACCTGGGCGGCCTCGCGGTTGTCGGGCTGTTGCTGCCCGAAGCCGCCGGTAGCGCTCCAGTCGCCGGAGTTGCGCTGGGTGGTGGGCCCGATCTTGGCACCGGAGCCGGACCAGAACCAGCCGTTGATGTTGGCGGGCTGCAGGTCGGGGCGGTCGCAGCCGTTGAAGTTGCACTTGCGGCCGGACGTCCAAATGTAGCGGACGTTACCTGCACACGCACACATAGTTCTTCGAGATCGATTGACTAAAAACAACTTCTGGAAGGTTACGAGAAAAATTATTATCCCCATGAAACAATAACTAATAAAAATAAAATGAATGCAGTATGTTTGAAATATTCTCTGATTTACATCAAACACGTTATTTCTTCTTTTATTCAAACTCACTTTTATGGAATTAAATCTTTTTACCCGACCACCATCGAATTATAGTAGCAGACAATCGTTAGTACGTATTTACTTAACACGAATTTCGCTGTAACAAGAAAAAATGTAACCCAGCCATAAACCCAGAAACACGTATATGTAATAATCGGATTTAACAAATTTTTATAATACGGACACTGATTATTTCGGACCCTTGAAATTTGTATTAACGAGGGTTTACTGTAAATAAATCGAAAACAGCGACAGTGCAACAGAGGTCCCTAGGAAGTGCAAACCGCTGTCAGCGCCCTGGCCGAGCCTCTCACCGCGCGCAATGCGCTGCTTGATGAACTCGTTCTCCTGGGGCGTCTCCATGGAGACGGCGTCCATGCAGTGGCGCCGGCAGATGTTGCGCGCGTCCAGCCAGTCCACCTCCAGGCGGCTGGTGGGGCCGTGCTCCCAGCTGAAGAAGTACGAGTGCGCCACGCCACGCGCGTCGCGGTAGTTGGCGTGCCTCACGCCTGCGAACACACCACAGCGCGCGCTCAGCACACAGGCAGACGCCTGGGGAGAGGTCAACGGCTGCTACTCCCACAAGTGTAGTGCATCTTTTCATCGCTAGAGGTGGTGATGGGATTCTTCCTCCGCTGGCCATGTCGGCATGCGGGGGACCGTCCATTAATTAAGAAACGCAAATTTGCTATATTAGTAGCCGGGTGTTGTGATCGGTAGTTTTCCATTGTTTTTCTCATCAACACGGGAGGAATGCCGAAACACCACCCTAGCAAAAAGGTCGGACCGCGTGCGATCTTTTCCTTGTGCTGTCCTCACCCCTACTTACACTCAATACTATCTAAAGGCTCTACAGCACGACACATGTAGGAAGCTTAGAGCTTGTTCTGAATGGGGCGGTGCCTCGCCGATTGGAGATATCTGGTGAGCGAAAATTACGCAAAGGTGTGGGTCTCGCCATGTAGCAGAAGATCGCGCCATAGGATCAAGCCATGTACCAGAGGATGTTCATTGCAACCTCTCGAGATAACAAACACTGCGGGAATATAGCCTTGGACGCTGGTGTTAGTATTTAGTATTATTACTACTCATACACCAACCCCGATTTACATTCACTTCTTGAAATTTGACACTAAACCTTTGATTATCATTGAAACTAAAAAAAAATGTTTGCTTTTTACAGACGTACGTAATTTCTAAGCTCAAAATAGGTCTAGACACCTGAGTAGCCGCTGTCATGACGCACCGTGCACTTAATACGTATTACAAAGAAGTACATATTTTGCATTATGGGGAAAATATTGTGATAATACTGCATCCTTTGTTTTCGAGGATTTATATTATACCTTACACAGGGATTTACGACAAATGTAATAAAATTTGCAACAAAATAAATAAGAAACTTAATTATAAAATGGTACAATATTTTTTCACTGTCTTTCTGAATAGTGAAACAGATAAGTTTATTTCTGCATGCTTACGTGTCGTTAGAAAGCGTTTGTTTTTCATATTCCCACCATCCAAATGCAAAACGACATCCACATCCCGCACTATTCAAGTCAGAGTTTGCTCACGGTGCGAGAGAAAAAGTGACGGAAACCACGCGCCTTCGACGTGCCCTAACGTAAGACGTTGCTTCACTGGTCACGCAACGGGTCCTTGTCCTCTTATTCGCTGCATTAACGTGTGTTTGAGATTCCTATGGCTTGTACGCACGTGATTTCAAGGCTCTCGCCGTTGCGACTGACGTTATACGCTAAATAAATAATCCTTGTCAGCGTCCAAAAGTACAGAAGACAGAGAGTTGCTGAATATTTCCTCTTTTTCCCTTTCACGGAAGTGGTGAGTTTCTACAAGGAACTCTCTCCCTCCCACGTTGAATACCGCTTCTGTGTGCTTGTGTGGAAGTTTGCATGGACCCTGGCGGCCCCGCATGCATGTGCCGACTCGCTCTCACGACGGCCTCCAGAGATGAGGTAGAAGTGTAGAGAAACACTTTTCAAGTCATGCAAATGTCTTTATTACGATATATATATATATATATATATATATATATATATATATATATATATATATATATATATCCAGATGTTTGTGCCGTACTCCTCGCCTTTGTTCTATATAAAAAATGCGGTATTTAGAATGCGATTTGAGGATCAATTCTTTTCAAATCTATGTTTTCTTTGATTAAATAAACCCAACAAATGATGAAGTTAATAAATAAATAATGACTTCTACTACATTTTATTTAGAAACTCAGTTTCTCTGACATACATTATTATGAGTTCTACAATTCTGGGACATTGTCACTAGTACTGATTCAGTTCCTGTGGAGTGAAATTGCCACTTGCCTGCACAAATTACTCGTGGGACATTCGTGAGATCTCCAGGGATTTCCCTTTCGCTTTTCGCTCTCGACGTGTGGCTATTGAGACGCCTACATCCAGGATAATCACCTGCTGTGGTCTTCTCATTCATTTTCACTTTGGCGATTGAATTTCGAGTAGTTGAAAAAGGAAGAAGGGAGAATAAATAGAAAATAATGATATTTTTTTTGACAATGACGAAACGAATATTGGATCGGAAAGAACAATGTAATTTGTAAGCAAGAATATTGGGATGAAAGTGTGTTGACTTATCTGATAGAAGGAAGATGAAGACATGGAAGAACAAGAAAAATAATATGATAAAATAAAAAAAAGTAAAAGTAATTTAGATAACGGAAAAACATGTTTAAATAATAAAAAAGTTTGATAATGGTACAGAAAAAATGACAAATGTGTAATCTACGCATGTTTTCGTGAGCTCGAAACCACTGAACCTACATTTATACTATAACAAGTTGAATTATTACCCCTTAATCATGTTCTTATTGTTGTTATTCCATTTCTTCATATTTCTCCATTCTAATGTCAACTAAATGTAACTTCACTATCTGTGTACGTCTTCAAGAGTTCTGTTGGAAATTTAGATATGAGTTCAAATTATCGTTCTCCCTGTTCTCATGAAAGGAAGTCCATTCCTTCACGAAGGGCACGATGTGGTAAAAAATCCCAAATTACAGCTGAAGGCCCTTGCAAATAGGTTTTATTACACTGGAGAGAAATTTTCTTATAAATTCTTCTCAAAAATACAAATTTTCATCTGTATTCAGAATTCAATTTGTATGTGGGTTAAGGTAGAGATCTCAGAAGTAAAGAAAACGTGCACAAAATACACTTTTCCACACAGTACGTCACACACAGTTTTTAACTGTGTTTTTAATAAAAAATAATATAGTTTCTTTATCTCTTCAATACAATTCCACTCCAATGTCCTTGCTTTATTGTGGTTTCAAGTTCAATATTCGTTTGGTAATCTCATAAAAATAACATTCCACCAGTTCCTTCTTCTTTCTCATCACCTCAGGTTTAGTAAAATTGCTGAAAATTTTATATTATACTCCCGCATTCATCTCATACAGTTTTTGCTGTTTTCGAAAATCGTCTCCTATATTATTTCAGTAATATACTTAACTTTGAGACTCTCACTCGCAACCGATCTGTATAAATAAGGTCTCTAAAGAAAGAGAAATTTACGGGGACGTAACGAATTGCACTTTGACATTAAACATTTGAAGGATTTGTTAAAAAAATGCATCCAAAGATTCATGCCAAATGCAACCCGCAGCACTGAGTCAGATAGTATACCGTTAAATAACTCCTAAACAAATCGTACTAGGACCTTAAAAACTGTTAAAGAATATTGAATAATTACTGAATAGTGAATAAATCTTTATAGAAAATTTATTTTCAATATTATTTGCATCTTTTTTATTTTTGATATTGTGTTACTACATGGAAGTTACCTTTATACATTTTTAAATAAATAAATACAATTCCTTAATAACTTTCCCTCTTAAAATATGAGGATAGGAAAGAGTGTGGGGTTTAATATGCGAGAGTTCTCGTACGGATGCGCAGAGGTAGGAGGGGAAAACTTGTGCTATGGCACAACAAAGAGAACCAACATTTTAAAATAACTAAAGTAAAATATCTTGACAAAAATGAATAACGACAATCAAAACGCGCTAGCCTACAGTACTATGTGAACTAATTTAAAAAACAAACCAAATTTAAAATTATGGAAAGAATAGCAGAAGTCATTCAACAACTGTCAACGAACACAATCCAAATGCACGATTAAATGTTGCCGTATCTGGAAGTTGTATATCAATGCCCAGCTGTAAACTCTTATTGTATTTTTTTTATTTACACTGAAAAACGCACATGTGTACAATCGCTTTGCAGAGAGTAAGATAGTAAAAGAACATCAGTTAAAGACCATCTCAGTTAAAGACCATCACTATGTCACACAGTTACTGTTCATCCGTGAATACTGGTTGACGGACAGCCGTCTTTCTTTACATATTGTAAATAATACACCGTTTGTTATTAAACTGAAGGGGTCGGTTTGCTAAGATATTCAACATCTAAATATTGTTTGAGCAACATTCCTATGTACCGAAGTGACGTGTAAGCCTTCTGACTGTTTCTAATGCTAAAAAATGGTATTTATATCTCAAAGGTGAAAATATATTATTGCTTTTCTTGATGCACGTAAGAACGCCGAAAATTATCGAATACTTATTAATATACAAATACTGTAATTTTTCAATTTTCACACCCAGGAAGCTGGTGCTCTACCCCTCCAAACCCTCTGTTCCTCATAAAAAATCTAGGAAAGTTCAATAATATTGCAAAGAGTAGGATTGTACTTGCCAGATTCTGTATTTTCTCATAGAAAACTTTACTTGGCTTTCTCAAGAGTACAAACCTTTTCTAATATTTTTGTAACTGCCGAGGACAGCGAAAAGCTAACTGTCAAGGAATATTTACTAATTACTTCAAATGTTTTAAGGAAGTTGTTCGAATAACATACGACTACATAATACGGAATAAACCTTTTTGAAAAATTGTTTCCAAGGTTAATTGCATTAATTTTATTTGTATTTGATATTGAGTAAATTTGAAGTTACATTTATACATTTTTTAAACAAATAAACATGTTTCATTAACAACTTTCTTTCTTAATGGAAATGATAAGGAAATGGTTAGGAAAAGAGAGAATTCTCGCATGGGTACGCGAGTAAATTAAATTAATAGTTACTTACTACGTAACTATTATAAACAATAACTCTTTTGTGTACAAATGAAATGTTAACGACGATAGGAGCTGAGTTTTGCATTTTGAAATGAGAACACCGACGATACTCTCGAACCAGTTGCGTACATTATATTTTTAGAATCGATTCGTGGAATCTTAAAAGTAATTTTGTCATCATTCTCCGTATGCAAGAAGCAACCATGTTGATTCATGTCATGTCAGTGTTTTGTTTACTTCGCAGTACTTATAATTATTTTATACGGCCAAGTCTACTCTGCGGTACACGTACCGAAAGTTTTCCAATCAATAAACATTGAATGTAAGTACTATATTCCATACACGAGTGCTGAAATAGTTATTAATGTAACTAGTACAGTGATTTTGACGAACGAATGAAGTGTTGACGGACAGGGCGACGATATGAGCTGAGTCCGATTTTTGAAATGAGTACGCCAAAGACACTTTTGTACGTGTTGCGTGCATTATCTTTTGGCACAGATACTTGGAAACGTACAAGCATATAATCTTGGGATCATTCTCAATATGCGCAGCAACAGCCAGGAGGATTAATTTTACCCCAGTGATTTGCTTACTTTGCAGTAATTTATTAATTTATTTGTTTTATACGACCATAACTTCTTTGCGGTTCGCTCAATTCTATTACGCCGTACGCGTGCCGCGAAGTAACAATCAATAAACAGAGAAGTGCGTGTGTGGTAGGAATGAAATGAAAGCGAACTCACGGTTGGCGCAGCTGCGGGGGTCGGGCAGGGCGAGGCGGCGCTGGGCGTGCGCGACGGCGGCCAGGCACGCCGCCACCAACAGCAGCGTCTGCGGGCGCAGCATCCTGCGTCTGCCACACAAACACACACTCGTCACTCCCCCGTACATTAACAAAGAAATGCGCCCACCAACACCCATTTGAATAAGCCCGCGAGTCGGCCTCCCTATTCTTCCATTAAAACACGAGGTCCGTTGACACCGTCAGCCGTGACGCTGTCATCCAATCGGGAGCTTAAACATCATCACAGGTACGTCACTATGGTGGCGTTTAAGCTCACGATTGGATGACAGCGACACAGTTGACGAAGTATCAACTGACCTCGTATTTCAATCGAAGTATAGCTGCGGCTCAGCGGGTGCTCAAGCTCTTTGTGTGTGTGTG